CGCTCCCGCGGGGAGCGCCCGCGTTCCCGGTGGGACAGGCCCAGCCGCCGCCGCCGCAGCTGGGCCGGGGATGGGGGGGGGGGTCACCGGGCCCTGGGGGGGGCCGCGCGAGGCCCGTGGGGAAGGAGCGGGAATCGCGGCTCAGCCCGCGCCCTCCCGCCGAGCAGGGAGCCCCCATGGACACGCGGAGCCCGTCCTGACGCCCGGCCCCGCCATGGAGGAGTGGAAGGGCAGCCCCGGCGCGAAGCCGCACGCGAAGCGCAGCTGGCACCTCGCCTGCAAGTACAAGCTGATGAACCAGCGCGCCCTGCGCAAGCTCTGCCAGGTGAGCCCGCGCTGGCACCGTCCCGTGCCCCCAGTCGTCCAGGGGTTCCCAGCGTAGGGAGCAGCCGCGGGTGATGCAGCCTGCTGGGGACGCTTAGCCTGTCCTCACAAAGGCCCCGTTGGCTTTGTGCCCCGGTCCTGAGGGGGTTGCTGCGTCCAGCAGCTCCCCCTTGCTTCACATGGGCCTGCCGGGTGTCCAGAGCAGGATCCCCAGGCTCTCCTGGGGATTCTGAGCTAGGAAAGATGCCAAACAGTGGTGCTGTGTAGGAGGGAGGCAGCCCTGGCACGTGGGCTTTGCAAAGCGAGCTTGGTGTGCGGCCCAGCAGCTGGGGAGGGCTGGGGGGGCACTGGGATCCTGAGCCCCGAGGCAGCTGCCGTCTGCGGCCGTGGGTTTATGCTGAAAAAACGGCTAATCCCGGGCTGTGCTGGGGTCTGGCGAGTGTCTGGGGAAATAAAGCAAGAGGGTTTGGTCCCTGGGCGCTGAGCTGCGGGAAAGGGGGTGTCACTGAGATGAGCTGGGCTTGGTGAAACTGGGCTGGATTTGCTGTGGGAGGGCAGAGGGGAGGGTTTTGTGTTTGCCTGGAAGGAGACTCCTCTGTCCTGTGTTCCCAGGAGCTCTGTGAGCTGGCGAACGGAGCGTCTCTGTCAGGACAGGCACAGCTTGCTCTGCTCCTCTCGCTCCTGGCCCTTTAAATCCCACTTAAGACCTTGGGGGATTGACCAGTGGAGTCAAGTGATCTCCTGTAAATCTTGTCCTCATGCGTGTCTGAACAAAAGCCCCTCTTTGGAGACTGGGAAAGAGGCAGGGGCGTGTTTGTGAGCCGCTGAGGCTTGAAACACAAGTGGAAGCTGGGCTAAAAAATATTTAAATTAGACCTGCAGCTGTGAAAGCCAAGTCCAGAATAGCTTAGCCTCTGTGGGCAGCTCTGGCTGAGCTCGCTCCGTTAGTCCTGCTCAGGGCTGTCCCATGCCCTGTGACAGCTCTGCAGGGTAACCTGGCTGGAGCTGGGGCTGCTTCTCCACAACCTGCTTTTAGCCACAAGTCTGAGTTTCTCGGTTGATTAAAAACTTTTGATGCCCAGATTCTCAGAGTTGTTCGTATTCCTGAATTGATGACAAATTGACAAGCCAAAGTGCCATAGTGACACACATTATCAGGCTGCCTCTCTGTCCATCTGTTAGCTTGTTGCTATTTTTCCCTGTTTGTCTACATCGGGTGATACTTGAACATGTTCGACTGCTCAGGAGAGGTAGCAGGAACGTGCCCCTTTCAGGCAGTAAATTGCCCCGTGGGGGGATTCATTTAGTGTCCCCTACCAAGGTCAAGTTTATATGTGTTCTCAACCCTGTACTAGACCTTGGAGAATCTACCTGAGAGAAAGTGCCATTACAGGAGTCCTCGAGGTGAAAAAGGCTCAGATGCTGAGGAAACAAGTGGGACCTGGGTGCTTGTAGGGCAACTTGTTTTGGGTTAGTTTTTGCACACGTGATAAGAGAGGTGAGTCTGAGAACTACCCAAGCTCTGTCCCTAGCAGCCTCCCCTTGAGCCCATCCCAAGCTCTTCCTGCTGCTCCTTGGTTCCTGTGACACCTCCACAGAGACACCTCTCCCGGGATGCTGCGGAGCAGGTTACCAGGTCCCTGAGTTTGCAGGGAAGGTCATGGGAATCCCTCTGGAACAAATGGATGAGGGACCACAGCATTTGGCGCCCAGGCCGAATCTAGCAGCAGCATCGTGTAGCAATCAGATTTGGGCCAGATGGTGGCTCTGCTATGAGCTGAGAGGTGCCCTTTGGCTTGGGGGCTGCTGGGGGAGCTCTGCAGCTGTGCTGGCTCTGTGCTTGGCAGGTGCCTGGCACTTTCTGTCTTAAATGTTGTCACAGAACCTTCCTGTGCCCATGTCCAGGACATCTGTGGGTTAGCTGGTGCAGGGCTGTGCTGCAGGGTGCACAGAGCTCTGCAGCTCCACGTGCTGCTGTTACCCGTTGTAGTTTCATTTCTGCCCTATTTAGGAGCGACGTTGCCCTGGGAGGTGATGATAGTCAGTTTGGAGGTGCTTGTGGTCTGCTGTATAAACCACAGGCCTGTCCATTGCTCTGTGTGGGTTGCCTTGTGGTTTGTTGCCGGCAGGAAGGCAGTGAGCTGGGCTCTGCAGCCCATAGCACAGTGCAGTTTCCTGAAGCTGGGCCTAAGCTCAGCTTCTAGTCTGTGCTTTGCTTCAGTCCATACAGTGTCTCTGTATATATCTGTCTGCCATGTGCATAGCAGTGTTGGGAATGTCCTGTGGTTGCAGGAATGGGACAGATGTAGTGACATTGCGGGAGGCACAGAGCTGAGGTTACTGCTGGAACTCTGAATTGCCAAACCCTTGATAATCAAACCCTTGATCATCAGCCTTGATGGGATATTTCAGCAGAAATCTGCTCACAGATCTGGAAGCAGGGACATGCTGGAAAGTGGGCTTGTGCTTTTGTGTCAAGAGCTCAGTGCTTTGTGGCAGATCATCTTTTCTGGCATTTCATCTTAAAGCTTGGTCATCCCTATTTCTCTCTGTACATTTCCCAGAAGATGGTACAGAAAATGACGATGCCAAATCCCTTGCAAGATCTGCTTGGGGTGCCCTGCAGGCTCTGCCAGGTAGCCTCATCTTGGGGTGGTTGCTTCTAAATTGTTAACATAGTGTCCTGCAGACAGGTGCTGTCCTGTTCCTGCTTGTGACTGTGATTGTGAACATCAAGCTGATCTTGGACACCAGGAGAGCTGCTTATGAGGAGGAAGAGGACTCCACGCAGGACTATGGTGAGTGGTATGACCTTGCTTTGAAAGCAAGGAAATGGGAAAGAGGAGCAGGAAAGATATCTCTGCATGTGGGTTTAACAAAAATAAATCTAACTTTACCATTCCTGATCTGTCTGCTCAAGTCTTCAGCTGAGTAGTAGGACAGAGTGTGATGCTTTTTTCTGGTTACTGAAGGCTTTATGGGGGTGCCTGGGGTCAGACCTTTTGCAATTTAACCTTTTTTCCTTGAGCTGTCCCTATAGATTCTGACTCATGGCCTGTTCAGCTGGGGTGCCTGGTGGGTGTGACCTCCCCGGAGGTATGGTTGGACCTAGGGCTGAGCAGAGAAAATGCCAGCAGTTCTGGGTGTGGGTGAGACTGGGCATTCCTTCCCTGCAGATGATGACATGCTGGACATGGAGGTCCCTAAGCAGCCTGCCAACACCAGGAAGGTCTTGGATGTTGAGGTCTATTCCAGCCGATCAAAGGTCTACGTGGCTGTGGATGGGACAACGGTGAGTGGCTGATGCTGGTGGTGTCTTTGAGCAGAGGAGAGACGGGGCTGGATGAGTGAAGCCTTCTATGATGTGAAGAATTCTTCTACAAAGTCCTTCTAGGAGAGCGTTTGAGCATTTTGATGATGGGCAACAGGTATAAAAGAGGATCCTTCTCCTGCCTGCAGGGCACAGAGCTGTTGTCCCACATCATTTCCTACTCTGGCACCATCGATGCTATGCACTAAACCAAAATGTCAAAAGAGATACTTGTCTCTTGTTTGGGGACCCTGTGGTGCTGAACAGGCAGGGTTGGGTAGAGAATAAGGGTTTTGGTTTACAATTTTCATCGCTTCTTTACTCGCAGGTCTTGGAAGATGATGCTCGAGAGCAAGGAAGAGGGATCCATGTCATCGTCTTAAATCAAGCCACGGTAAAGTTGCTCTGCATGTGACTTTCTCAAGGTGTCATGTTTGTCCTTCCTGTTGACCTGTATACATGAAGCAAAGAATGGCCAAAAGTCCCGTAGTGCTTGTTTGCCTCTAGCTGCCAGAGCAGGATGTGGTGACCCAAAATGTTCTCATGGTGTTTCTCTGGGTTTGCCTAGCTCCGAGGGAAGCTTTTACTGGTTTCTCAGTTTGCCTTTGGGCTCTGTCCCCAGGTAGAAGAAATGTGAACCCAAACAGAAGTGTGTTGAGCAAGCAGGCAGAAGAAGGGTGGTGAGGTTGGGTAATGCTGTCCCAAAAAGCACTCCATGCTCATTGTGAAGCTGCAGGGGCTGAATTTGCCTGGGTACTTGCTCCCTAGCATAACAAAAAAGTGTCTCATCATGTTATCTAAAGAAAAGGATGAACTTCCAGGGCAAACTCTTATACCCCTACGTATCGTGGCTATATAGAACTTAAGATGCATCTTGTATTTAAATACCAACAGGGTCATGTGATGGCCAAAAGGGTCTTTGACACCTATTCTCCCCATGAGGATGAAGCCATGGTACTCTTCCTCAACATGGTTGCCCGGGGCCGCATCCTGATTTTCACCATTAAGGTAAGTGATCGATGTGTCAAAAGAAAATTTCATCTTGAGTCAGGTCACCTTAAAATTCCTGTCATTTCCTGAATGTCACCATGCATTCCTAGGCCTAAATGTCTCATCCTGAGCTTGGCTATATCTCTGACTTCATGGATTTCCTCATTCCTCTGCTCCTTTTTTTACTGCAAATACTGCTGTGAGTCCAGGAGCTAGGCAAGAGAGCAAAAAGAGCATACGAGTCAGAGCTTGCAGCCAAAACCATAAGGCTGCATGGAAAAGGGAAATAAGAAATTAAAAGTTTGTGGTGGGACCCTTGCAGGAAATGTTTTGTGCCAGTCCTAGACTGTTCCAGTTCCAGGCTGTTATGTGGGGCTGTGCTGGCTCCAGGCTGCTGTACAAGGTGCAGTCTAGATTATACCTCAAGAGTGTGAAGCCTGTGAAGCCTTTCTGGATGCACAGCTCTGCTCTAGAACAATTTGATCACAAGGAAACCAGTATGATTCCTCTGAATTCCTTGTGGATTATTGTGAAGCCACCAGCAGATTTAGTGGCATAGAGGTTTAGCTGGCCTGAGGATAGGAGTGGACTCCATTTCCTTGGAATCACTGAGGAACTTTCTTGTCCACATTAGGAGCTAGACCTCAGGCCCAGAGGAAGGAAAAGGCCTTATGGTTGTGTTTCATTCCAGGATGAAGGCTCCTTCCACCTCAAGGACACAGCTAAGAATCTTCTAAAAAGCCTGGGGAGCCAAGTTGCACCATTCCTAAGCTGGAGAGACATGTGGACATTTGTGGGGAAGAAGGGAGGTGAGTGAGTCTGGCATGGATCTGGAAGGAGTTCATGCTTCCTTTTGTGGGGGAATGGCAGGTTAAGGTAAACCTGCTTCATCCGCAACATACTGTGTATGAGCGAGCCAGTCAGGAGCCAACCTCATTCCTGGGAATGAGGAATGGGAGGTCCCCTCAGCAGCTCCCTAATGACCAAAAAGGAAGAGTCCCAAGCCGCTACCCTGAACTACAACCTCTGGACTTGATACAAGGGAATACAAAGGAATGCAATCACACTTCCCTTGATACAAGGGAAGTGGGTTGCCTTTGGATAGTCCTGACCCTGTGCTCCTGCTCCAGGGGAGGTGTACGGTGAGAAGCACTCAAAGTCGCCTGCCCTCTCCACATGGGGTGACGCTGTACTACTGAAGACAGAAGTCCACCTGACATCCTTGGAAGGTAGGAAATAGAGTCTATGTCATGGTGTAAAGGATCAGTGGGAGTTGTCTGCCCAGTGCTCTGGGTGTATTTAAATCTAAGCCTTGGGTTTGTTAACAACAACCCAAAATATATTTAAAGCTATTTGGAGCAGGTTGGTGATTTTTAATGGGACGAGCTTCTCTTCTTCCTGCTTCCATGGCAATTGAAGGGATGGTGCAAGGTGAGGATGGGGGAATGGGAGCACGCTCTGGCCGTTCTTCATCTCTCCAGTGTGGGTCTGCTGCAGTCCTCTCTGAACCAGGCCTATTGCCGCTCACAGAGGTCATGCCCTCGGGATGGTTTCCAAGCAGATTCTCTGCCTGCATCCTGAAGTGATGCTTATTCACAGCAACAAGACTTGCTTGGTGATGGCCGAGCCAGGGAAGAGACCACTGTGGAGTCGGGAGCACACAGGGCAAGGCTATGGGGCTGAGCAGTCTGGTTTTCTCCTTGGTACCTCTAGATGCCGAGTGCCACTGGCCCAACACAGAGCTGAACCGCCGCCGCAAGACGTTTTGCAGCAAAGTCGAAGGTTACGGCAGCGTGTGCAGCTGCAAAGACCCCACTCCCATCGAGTTCAACCCCGAGCCCGTGAGTGCAGGGGTGGTGCAGCAGGAAGGGCTCCAGGGGGGAGGGCTGCCCTGGACCCATGTTTGCAGCTCAGATGCAGGGCCCTGTCCATAGGCAGGTGCTGAGGGTGGTAACTGCCTTTGGGCAACCCCTTCGGCCCTGGCAAAGGTAAGGCAAATATACCTGGGCTACTGGGGAAGCTGGATTCCCTTTCCCTACAGCTACCAGTTTACCATGACTGTAGTAACCTTGATGGAAGCAACTGAGCCTGTACCTTTGCAGACAGAGCATCTGTGACATCTGTGCTGCCCCTTAGATCCTGCTTTGTCAGGTGTCCTCCTCCAGTCCTATTCACACATTTTTTTTTTCTTCCCCAGCTCAAAAACAATAAAGTCTTTGATGTGCCTGTAGCTGTAATTGCAGGGAACCGGCCCAACTACCTGTACAGGTGAGTGCTTCTAGGGGACATCACTTCTCTAGCTCCTGTCAAGAGACCTGGCAAGGCCAAGACCTTCTCCTGTGTCCTGCTGGCAGGATCCAGCCCTGTCCTGGGGACACAGGAGCAGTGCTGACGAGCTTGCTGCAGAGGCCTTGGCCATGGGAAAGGGGTCACTAGACTCTAACTGCTTGCAGCTTTTCCCACCACAAGGAATTTGGGCTGTGGCTTGTCCCTGTAGTCTTTCTCTGGGGTGGGACTGTCTTTCCTGAGGGATCCAAGCCTACTGGAGCTGTGCTCAGTGCCATGTGTCTCTTCCCCAGGATGCTGCGCTCCTTGCTGTCGGCTCAGGGAGTCAATCCTGAGATGATCACGGTGTTCATTGACGGCTACTATGAGGTGAGAGCCCTGCTGGGGATGCCTACAGCTGAGCCTTAGTCTCTCGGGCAGGAGGATGTGGTATTGCCCAGGCCTTGGTGGGTGACAGGCTCTGAGCCTGGGGCCCACGCAGCCCTGGACAGGTCTGTTCTCAGAAGACCTGTGAAAGCTGTGGTCCAGTGGGGGAGGTGAGGGGTCAAGGAGCTTCCTTTCAGCTCAGCTGGCCATTGGAGGATCCCACTTGCAAGCACAGGCTCCCCAGCAGTGGGATGTGCTCTGGGATAGGCATATGGGATACCCAGGGCTCTCAGGGGGTTCTAGCCCATGTGTCTGCACCAGGCCGTGGAGCATTGTGTGTGATGAATTCAGACCTTTCTGGCCATGGCTGGTTTGGGGGCTGGTGTCTTTGTGCAGCCTGTTGCTGCAGCGCATCAGGACACATAAAGATAGCAGCATCCATTGCCATGGCAACTGGAGCTCAGCCCTTGGCTATGAGGGGGTGGCTGGGATGCTCATGCTGGATACCAAGGAAAGGAGGAAGAGGAGCAACGGGAACTCCTTCTCCCATCTGTGGCTGGGCAATGGGAGAGACAGTGTTTATAAAGAGGGTATGAAAGGCCAGGGCGGTCCTGCTTGGAGCAGAGGTATGTCAGTCAGCCCAGTTTGGACTGTTTCTGACCCCAGTGATGATGTACTTGTTCAGAGAGGTCCCCTTCTTGGCAACAGGAGGAGAAAGTGAAGCTGATTATGGTTTCAGTGTTAAACAGTTATTAGGTAGGTGCTCCTGGAAATACCTATTATTTTCTGCCCTGCCCATGAGGGACTGGGGATTCAGGCCCCTCAGAGCTTCTCACTGGGATACAAGTTCTGGTCTGCAAGTTCTTAGGTGTACTGCAAGGGTTAGCAACGCTTTGGGCCTAGAGGGGCAAGAGGGTTTGGGTGCTCCTGGCTGCCATTTTGCTGACGTTGACAGTGTGGCAGACAGGGGGGTAGAGAAGGTACCAAGACCCACTCATTTCCTGAGCTGTGTCCATTCTGGTTGTTGCAGGAGCCTATGGATGTTGTGGAGCTGTTCGGTCTTGCTGGAATCCAGCACACTCCCATCAGCATTAAAAATGCCAGAGTTTCCCAGGTGAGAAACTCCTTCCTGGTGGAGTTATTGCCCCCAGCATCACAATGAGATGGGACAGGACTGATTGTATTCAAGGGAGGCAAGCTTAGCCCCACATCCTTGCCAGGCTGCTCCTCCCTGTGGTTCAGGAATCGATACTAATGCAGGAAATGATGTGTCTGTTCTTGTAGCACTACAAAGCCAGTCTGACTGCAACCTTCAACCTGTTCCCGGTGAGTGAGACCGCTGTCTGACCCTGTCCATCCACTTGTTCACGGGAGCAAGGTGGCACAGAGCTCCCCAGCAGTGACACCCATCTCATGGGAGCTGGCACTGGACAGGGAGCAGTGCAGGCAGGACCCGCAGGTCCATTAAACGCTGCGTGATGTCTCTGCTCTCCTGGTTCTCTACATCCATTTTTGACATCCCTGCACTCTACAGGAGGCCAAATTTGCTGTGGTTCTGGAGGAAGACCTTGACATCTCTGTTGATTTCTTCAGGTAAAGCTGTGGCGCCCTGAGCTCTTGTTATGGGTTGGAGCATTTCCTAGGAGTAAGGTGCCCATCCGGGAGAGGTCTGATCCCTGCCTGCAGAGGGGCAGTCCTAGTCTTTCCTAGGCCTCAGCGATGGGTATCTTCAGGATCAGGTAGTGTGTGGATCTCCTGGTTTGTCTGAGGCAGGAGATGGTTTTATTGTCCCCTCGGTCTGCAGAGATGCAGCGTAGTTTGTGGGGTGCTTCTTGCCTAGTCGTGCACAGTGAGAGCCAGCTCTGCCCAAGAGTTAGATTAAACTACCCAATAGTGGCTTGCGTTGGTTCCTCTGTGAAGGTTTCTTGACCAGGGGCTGTGCCACTCTTTCCATAGCTTTCTGAGCCAGTCCATCTACCTGCTGGAGGAGGATGAGAGCCTGTACTGCATCTCAGCCTGGAATGACCAGGTGGGTCAGGCAGAACAGCAGAGCAAGGACAGCTCCAGCTTGTGCTGTTCCTGAGTTGGGTGGGATGGGGGTGCTTCTTGCAAAGCTGTCCTGTCCTTGCAGTGGGCTTCCCAATCACTCTTTCCTGCTCCCTAGCCTGGGAGTCTCCATGGAGCAAGAAGCTTCCTGTTTTCCTTGGGGAATGTCAGGTCTCTGAATGCTCCCTGTACTGTTGCAGGGCTACGAGCACACAGCTGAGGACCCCTCGCTCCTGTACCGTGTGGAAACCATGCCAGGCCTGGGCTGGGTACTCCGCAAAAGCCTGTACAAGGAGGAGCTGGAGCCGAAGTGGCCAACCCCAGAGAAGGTGAGTGTCCTGGATGGGCTCTGTCTTCTAATGCATATCAGCAGAAATAAGTCCAAGTCCTCATGGGCTCTGCTATGGAGGAGACCTGGCTTCTCCATAAGCTTTCTGAGCTTCCCTTGGATTGGATGCCCCAGCAGGGTGGATTTGGGACAGACTAACTTGAGGGCCACCCAATCAGCTCTAGAGCAGCCCGGGCAGGCTGGGGCTGTGAGAACCCCAGCCAGAACAGGCAGAAGGGAAGGTCACTGCTCCCTCACAGCTCCTCTACCAAGTGACATCCTCAAACCTGAGTGTGAATGACAGTTTCCCCTCTGCAGCTCTGGGACTGGGACATGTGGATGCGGATGCCTGAGCAGCGGAAGGGCCGGGAGTGCATCATCCCGGACATCTCGCGCTCCTACCACTTTGGCATCGTGGGGCTCAACATGAACGGCTACTTTCACGTGAGTGACCTCCCCGCACTCCCAGTTCTGCCACATCCTCTCTGGATGCTGAGCTGTGACCCCAGCTCACTCCATGGACAGTGGGGATGCTCGAGGTGACTTAACAGCACTGCTGATTCCAGACCAAATCTCCTTTCCATTCTTTCCTTTCTTTTCCTGCTAGGAAGCCTATTTCAAAAAGCACAAGTTCAACACAGTCCCAAATGTCCAGCTTAAAAATGTGGAGAGGTAAGTGCTGATTACAAGTTGATTGGGATGAGACTGTTGTATGACCTGACTCTGTCCTTTTGTGCCAGGGATATCTCCCTTCCTTCTGCCATGACAACCTTCAGTTTGATCCCTACCGCACTGAGTCCTCCTTGCAGTGGTTTCTGTGAGATGAGGTTCATGTAACCCATGCTCCAGGAAGCCCAAAAGCAGCCTGCCCACAAAACACTCCTTGTTCTTGCTTGTGGGTCCCCAGCAACAATTTGGGACAGATGTTGGTTCCCTAAGGCTCCTTTGCAGAAACACAGGGTCTGATCCCTCAGGCTGGCTGTGAAGCTGTGAGCTCTCAGGATGTACGCAGCCAGCCTGGGGAGTTTTCTTTCTTTCTCTAAAGACATGTGTGGTTTGGTGGCGAGAGCTTGGAGCTGAGCCTGCAGACAAGGGTGACCTTTTTGGCCCTTTTGTTGCTGTGTCCTCCCAAGAAGTGTTGCACATGGCAGTCTGCTCTTCCGACCTGCCTTTCAGGGTTACACTGCGCTGTGTTACTTGAGACTACGTGATCACTGTGCTCTGTCTTCCTTGACAGCTTGAAGAAGGATGCTTACGAAATTGAAATTCATCGGCTGCTTGGGTAAGTGTGTATGGCTTGCAGGACAGCTGGGAGAGCTCAGGGTGTGCTGGGATAACTAACTGGGACAGAAGAAAGGGTAGAAGTGGCCCCAGCCACTGCTTGCCAATCTGAAGTGCCCTGTGGTGGATATGGGGTCCCCTCTCACTCCCTTTTCTGTTCCTACAGTGAGGCTGAGGTTTTGGACCACAGCAAGAACCCCTGTGAAGACTCCTTTGTGCCTGACACTGAGGGCAAGGTCTACGTCATGTTCATCAAGATGGAGCAGGAAGCTGATTTTACCACGTGGACTCAGCTTGCCAAGGTGGGGCCCTGGCTCAGCCTGTCTGCACCCCTGCGCTGGCCTTGGCATCGCTGGGAATTGCCTGGCTTCTGCTTTTGGTCCTGGCCATGGCCTTGATGCAGCTCAGCAAAAGAATTTCTACTGCCCTCACATGATGGTTAAGCTCTTAATTTTTACAGCAGGCTCTGAGGCATCCGAGGCTATGGACATTGATGCCTCTTTCTCCCTTTCTATCCTAGTGCCTCCACATCTGGGACCTGGATGTCCGTGGAAATCACAAGGGGCTGTGGAGGCTTTTCCGCAAGAAGAACCACTTCCTCGTGGTGGGCGTCCCTGCCTCTCCCTACTCGTAAGTAGCAGGAGCACAGCGACCTGGATTGTCCCCTCATGCTTGTGGCCCCATCCCTGCCCAAGGGCACTGCATCACCCAGCATTCCTCATGCAGAGCATCCCCCTCAATCTGTGTGGTGGGAGCAGCCTGGGATACCTGCCTGGGCATGGAGGATTCCTGCAGGGAGGAAGGGGCCCATAGGTGGGGGTGGGAGGCCAGCACTGTTGGCAGTAGGACACTGGAGTGGACCCACCATCCCTGCCCTCTCCCAGCTGGCTTTTCCTCCTCACCCACAGGTCCAAGAAGCCCCCATCGGTGACCCCGATCTACATGGAGCCCCCTGCCAAGGAGGAGGGGGCGGTGGCAGCGCCAGCGGTCCCTGCAGCGGAGCAGACATGAGAGCAGCAGCTGGGGAGGAAGGGGGCACTGGAGAGGCAGAGACCAGTGGGCGGCTGCCCTCGGAGCCTGGTGACCGGACACCAACTCCAGCTTCAGGCTGCAAAGTGAGATCTTGGGTCCCCCTCTTCCTGGAATGGGATCCTTCCCTGTAGATCTGCTACCCCTACGGCATGGGAACCTTTTGAACAGACTCTTTACTAACGCTGCTCCCTTCTCTCCCCACCTGGGCTCCCTGGGCAAGGCTGGAGGAAGAGGATGCCCGGTCTTGGGCTGGAGGGGCATTCAGCAATGCCTGTGGCTCCTTCCTTCCCCACCCCAGGTCCTGGGAAGAGCAGCTGGCTTTTGTAGGAAGTGCTGCAGCCGACCAGCTGGCTTTTATTTATTAACTCTTGCCTGTCTGGCCTCGTGCCCAGCGCAGTGGTGAAGAGGGGAATCTCCCAGCATCTCTTCTCCCTCCTGCACCATGGATGCACCTTGAAGACTGCCCTGGACTGGATGTCTCCCTGCATCCCAGCTCACTGCCTGGACCATGGGCCCCAGAGCAGCCCAGCTTCTAGGCAAGAGGGAATGCTGCCGAAGAGCTGACCTTGCCGCGCCGGCGGAGGGGACCCCCGCTCCCCATGGCGAGGGCCGCTGAGGGGCTGCCCTTTCCCCTCAGTTGTGGGGGACAGATGACTGGATGGAGCAGGCCCAGGCTCTGCGCTGCTGCTCACACCGTCCTTGCCAGCTCCTGCGGGGCAGCAGCCTTGGGCCGGGGCGAGGGCTGAAAGTGCCTTGTGGAGCCAGAGGAGCAGCGAAGGGCACCCCGCTCTGCCACCCCCAGCGCAGAGGCAGGAGCTGCCCGAGCCCTCCGGCAGGCAGTGCTAGGCACGAGTGATGCTGCAGCCGGGCACGGGCCTTGCTGTGGTACTGCCCCTGTCCCTCCCGCGGGGCCAGCTACCCCCAGGCCCTCACACAGGATGGGGTCTCATTCTCCCCTCTCTCCCCTTAGCACGGTACGTCTGCCAGGGCCGCCGCGGCCGAGCTCCATGGGCAGCCTGGCTCGGAGCAGTCCCTGTGCAGAGGGAGGGGTGGCTGCCCTGCCTCCCCAGGGCCCCATCCCACCCCCCTGGTACTAGTTGCCTCAATCCCGGGCACTCCTGCTCCCTGCTCTCACTGCCCTCCCTGTCGTATCCATGCAACAATAGTCAAGTTCTTTGCCCAGGTCGCCTGTGCTCAGCTTTGTGCCCAGCAAGGGCTTTGCTGCCCAGTCCTGTCTCTGTGGCCACAGGCAGGGTACATGAGGGGTAACCCTCCAGCTGCAGCGCCCTTGGGCCAGGTGCTCTTGAGCGGAGCACCAGGCCACCTGGGCCACCCACCCCAGCTCTCCATGGGATCCACACTACACTAATTTATTTATTTATTACTGGTGGGAAGGGGATAGCAGGAATGTAGCAGGGAGAGCTGGGAGCCCCCGAGGGCACAGTCCTGCCGCACCTCTCTTTTGAGCCCCCATCTCCATCCTTCATTCCCTCTCTTCTTCCCTCCTTTGCTCAGCAGCAGAAAATGTGAACCCAGCTCCTGATCTGCTCCTGTGGTCCCACTAAGCCCAGGTGAGCAGAGCTGCCCTCGGCTGTGGGGCCAGGGCAGCTGGGTGGGCAGAGCCTGCACAGCCACAGGGATGTCACAGGTCCCCACTGCATCCTGTTCATCCCGATGCCCTCAAGACTTTTTGGTAGCAGCCCCAGGGCTCAGATCATCGCTGCCTTGCTGCAGCCCCTCTGCTCTCGGCTCTTCTCTGGGGCTCTGGTACTGTGGGTGTCTGGGTTCGTCTTCAGTCTCAGCTGGTCCTTGGGCATTTTAGAAAGGTCCTTTAAAGGCCCTGAGCCAGGGACTCGGCTTCCCTTCCCCGCTCCTCAACAGCGGTGCTGGCTGCTTGCGCCTCAAGTCCTGCTTTGGAAAAGCCCCCATGGTCACAGTGGTTTTTCTTGGTGTCTTAGTTCTCAAGGTCGAATTTCAGTCGACTCCCTCCTTTCTCGTCCCCCTGGGAGGGGGTCAGGCCCACCACAAGCTCCTGGGGGCTGGGGGGGACAGTCCTGCAGCCAGGCACATGGCCAGACTCAAGTCCCCGCCTTGCCCTGTCCTCTAGCGCTGCTCCCTGTCCTGCAGGGCCCTTTGCTTTCAGTGACAGCAAGATTCAACGTGTGGGCTTGGACATCCTCGTTCCTTCCCTCTCTGGCACCAGGACGGGCCTGCTCGGTGCTGTTCTCCGTCCATCCCCATTCTTCCCGCGAGGCTCCAGTTTGGTGGTCAGGAAGCCGGGAGGATGGGGAGCTGCCAGGCCATGGCATGGCTGGGAGCAAGGGCAACCTCAGCGCTTGCCACTTTCTCAATTGAATTATTTTTTCAAGAATAAATACTGCAAAGGTGTTGAGCCTCGCATGTTTCTCGTCTGCAGCTCTGTGCTCCAGAACCGCCCCTGCCAGCCTGGGGTGGTGCCTTGGTCCCTCTGCCTCAGCATGGGCTGAGGAAGGCGAACAGCATCACTTTGGGTGCAGGGGTGGCTGTTGACAAGGGCTCCAGCAACCCAGGTCTCTGTGATGGCCAAATGGCAACAGAGGGCCCAGAAAGGTTCCAGGGAGACTTTGGCTCAGCAGCAAAGCTGGCCCTACCTAGGCAGGGACAGTGGCTTTATTTATTAAAAGGGGGCTTTCCTGCACTCTGGGGTGTGCACAGCGTTGAGGACAAAGCTTTTCTCAGCCAAACCATCTTGCAAATAAATCCCCATGGGGTGTCCTGGCGGTGAAGGGTGCAGTTCTTTGACATTCCCTTCGCTTGCGCTGTGCAGGGAGGGGAGCGGTGTTCAGGACAGTTTGGTCCTGGGGCGCCCGTGGCCGCGTTCAGCTGCTCTCTCCCTGCTGCCCTTGCAGGTGGCCGCGCTGCAGCCCAGGGTCCGGCACCGGGGAGGGCGGCAGCTCTGCCCGTGTCCCGCAGCCCGGCCCGCGGCCGCCGCGTCGGTGCCGGTGCCGGTGCCGGTGCCAGCAGAGGTCGCGCACTGCTCGCCGGTGCTGCTTCCTCCCCGGCTGCTGCTTCCTCCTGGGGTGGTTTCAGCGCTGCTCATCTTTCCTGTGCTGGAAACTCCAGCCGCCCGCTCTCGCTCTGCACCGTGGGGCTGCCTGCTGCTACCCGCAGGCCGGGCCCCGAGCAAGCAGCCCCGCGACGTGGAGCAGGGAGCCGGCGGCCCCCCGTCACCCTCGCTCTGCTCCTGGACAGGAGTGTCCAGGGTAATCTGATCCCCCCAGGCTCTGTTTCTGGGGGACTTCATCCCTGAAGTGGTCCTGGAAGTGTGGGTCTTCCCCTGCCTCCCACCCTAACCAGCACTGCGGGGAGATGGGTGCGAAGGCCAGATGGAGGTGACCGCCGCGCATGACGTAACCGGGCGGATTGGCTCTCTCAGGAGGCGCTGCTCCCGCGCCGGCTCTTCCTCATGCTGGGCAGCCCTGCCCGGGGCCGGGCACAGCTCGACTTGCCCTGTGCCACAAGGAAGGGAAGCGGCAGCTCGAGGGCACGGGGCCGAGACCAGGCAGCTCGTGCCCTGCTCTGCCCGCCCGAGCAGCGGGCGCTGCCCGTGTCTGCAAAGCAGGAGCAGCGGGTGCAGGAGCCCCGCGGCGCTGTTTGCACGTGTGACAGCAGCAGCAGGTCCCCACGTTGCGGACAGACCCCCCCGCGTGGCGGCCTCGCTCGCTTTGTGTAACGTTACGGAGCAGAACCTGCCCAGGCTGCTCCGCGTCCCTGGAGAAGACTGATAATTAAACAAAAGCAAAATAGCCTTGGCATGAAACATGACCTTTCTGCAGCGGGCGGGGGGAGGGAGGGAGAGATTTTGCATATATTTTGTTGTTTCCTTTTTTTTTCCCCCCCCCTTTTTTTTTTTTTTTTTTTTTTTTTTATTCATTATGGTTGCTTGGTGGTGATCTCTGTGCCAGGGGGAGCAGGGAGACCCTGCAAGCAGCGACGGGGCAGAGAAGCATCCAACAACAGAGCATCCGCCGGGAGCCGCGGGGGAGCCCTGCAGGAGCATTCCCACACGGCAGCCAGCTCTGCAGCATACCTGCATTTCCAGGGATGAGGCCTGGAAAACCCACTTCCTCCCCTGCCCTGCACCACCCCTCTCCATGGCAGCCCTTAGCACTGGCGAGGGGGGTTGTTTTCCAGCACCCTCCTCTCCATAGCATTGCAGCACGGAGCCACCTAACCCACCCAGAGCAAGGGGCTACGCGCTGGGTTTTCCCTCGGCCCCAGGCCTGGGAGGTGCCTTCCCAATGGGAGAGCATCCAGCCCGCAGCCCTGCCCATGCCCCCCCGCTGCGCCGTCCCCACGCCACAATCTCCCGCGCCCTGCGCAACAAAAGCCTGGCGCAAATTAATCTTCAACCCAGATCGTTGCCTTCGCGGTGATTACACTGTGTCCTACCTGGCGCGGTGTTAATGATTAACGCGGCAGGTTTTTCCCCTGCCACCCCTTCCCTCACCTCCCCACAGCCTCCCATGTCCGCTGCTCGCGCACTTGCTCTACCTGGGAAAACCACAAGCCCTGCAGCTCCTCAGCCCACTCATCCCGGGAACGTCATCACACCGTCCCCCAGGAAAACCAATTGCAAAGAGAGAAGGGGGGGGACCTTGTTTCCTAAGGCAGAGTCCCGTCCCTCCAAAATCCTGGTACAGCCCCCGTGTCCACCGGGCAAGTCCCCATCCCAGTCCTCCCTGGGCGCTGGCGAGAGCTGGGCTTTTGTCACGGGCCTCCAGCACGTCCCTTATCGGCCTGCAGAGCCTGCCAAGCCGCCTCCTCCCTGCGGCCCTGCGCTTTCCTGAGAAACCCAACCGAGCACAGGAGGCGGAGGCCCCTTTCCAGGGAAATGGGCCCATTCCAGGTTGCTGCCCGGCCTCTCCGGACCGGCACGGTGATGTCCGTGCTTGGTGCCTGCTGCTGTCGCAGCAGGTCAGCAAGGAGCCAAGCTCCTGTAGCCCCGCTGGGCTGTGGGGACAGGGTGCAGGGGATGGACAGGGCTGTCCCTATCCCCTATCCAAGCAGGACACCCAGCTCTCTGGGTGCTTGTGCTTCCCTGGGCTCCAGTCCCCCACTCCTGCCCTGCTCTGTGCCCACGAAGAGCTGGGTGCTCTTCCTCCACACGGTGCCTCTTCCTTATTGCCTCCGCTGCCCAGCCCCAGGCGGGAATATGCCCGGTTCCCAGCAAGGTGAAAGTCCATGTTTTGCCTCAGAGGCAAGGTTTCCTGGATGGTCAAGGTCCCGCACCACCGTGAGGGGGTAAATACAGTGCCAGCAGGCTGGGCGCTCCAGGGACCATGGCCGGCCGCAAGCGACACCTGCAGGAGCGGGGAGCGGAGGCGCTGCCGCCGATCCCAAGGCCTTATCCTGCCAGGGGACACTTCCCTTCCGCTCGCGCATGCTCCGTGTCACGGGTGTGGGCAGTGGGCACACAGAGCGGAGCGCACGTGGGCACCGCCACACACTGAGCAAACCTCCGGCCCGGCGGCGCTCCCGCTGCTGTAAGGAAGTTTGTGGTTCCGTGTCCCTGGGGGCGTCTCGGGCTGCTTTGGGGGCGAGTCCCCCCACAGAAGGGCAGTGCCACGGCGGGGGGTTATTGCCGGGGGACATTATTGGTAGCTTCAAGGGCAGCTGGAGCAGCTGGACGGTTTCCAAAGGCCCGGTGCCTTGTGGTGGCGCGGGGAGGCTCTGATTGTGGCAGGAGGGCAGGGAAAGGTGCTCAGCAAATGTGGCACCGCTCTGGCCCTGCTCCAGCTTCGCAGGGCACCAGGGGCAGCACCGTGGGTGCGACAGGCTCTGTGCTAAGTGCTCTGCCCTCACGATTGCCCTGGTGCAAGAGCCACGTGCAGGTGGCACTGGCGAAGAGCACCACCAAACAGCCCAGAGCCCCTCCTGAGCACATCTGCCTCGGGAAGGAGCTTTCCCAGTGCTCAGGAGCCCCAACAGGCCCAGGACATTGGGACATTAGGCTGGGAAGAGGCGTGGGGGTGGCTGCCGCGTCAAGGCCACAGGCAGGAATTGTCCTTCACCCGGCACCCAGCAGCCACCTGATGTGGGAGGAGGCGAAACTGGTCCTGCGGGTTTCCCTCCCGCGAGATGGGAGGACGAACGGAGCCAGTCTGGGCAAACAGCACCAGGGCAACCGCGCTGCCCTGCGTGGCCACCGAAACCCGCCCGGGCCGGCCGGGGCGTCGGGCGCGAAGCCCAGGCTGAGCCCCCTGCTGAGGCCTTTGCTGGGCTGCTTCCCCACACGGGCCGGGAGGAGAGGCACCGCCACCGTCACCGTGTCCCCAGCTAAGTCACAGGGTGGGGACACGGCCCTGCGGCGGCCACGGCCAAGCACGTGAGGCAGGGAGGCCTCCTGCTAAGCCGCGTGTGGCGGCCTGTGTGCTAAAAGCCCAGGGTGGAGGGAGATCAGTCCCAGCACTGCTGACCACATCCTTCCAAGGGCCTTTTTGTTGTCCAAGGAAGGCACCTCCAGCTCTGGGCTCCAGCAAAGGACAAGGAAGAGGCTGGCAGGAGCGAGGACTTTCCCGGACGGGTGCATCCAAGCGAGCACGGGAGCGCTGGGACGCGCGTGCCCTGCTGCAATTATCAGCTCCCATAAAAGTCGGGACAGAGCCAGCTCCTGCTGTTGCGATAAGGCCGTGCTGGGGAAGGCACCTTTGCCAGCCTGGCTGTGCCTAACACCCGCTCTTGAGTCAACACCACCGCCCTGGGCACTTTCCTGGCGTGTTCCCCCGCTCTGTGTTGACCCCTATACAGCCCCCGAAGTAGTCCCTCCACCTCCAGCCATGGTGGTAGTCATAGGTCTTTATTGAAGACAAGAGATCAGCTCCAGAAAATAATTTATATTCAAAAATGAACAATTTTTCCCCATCTCCTCCCCTTCATCACAGCCTAGAGCTGTGCCCCCAGGCCAGGGGGTTCTGCCACAGAAATCACAACACAGCACAGGGCCCGATCACGGCCCGGGGGAGCAGGGACCTGTAGGGTTGCACATCACACCAGGGCAGGCAGCAGAGAGCAGCTCCGAGCCCTTCCCACCACCGCATCGGGTGAGGGCGATTCCAGCCCCAGGAGAAGGTGACATTGTCACCTGCAGCGGGGCTGGCTCCGGCAGCGGGGCTGGCTCCAGCCTCCAGCTTCCCTGGCGAGGGGCTCACAATCATAGGCTGGCACTGCTCGGGGAGCCTGGGCACGCAGCAGGGGACAGGTCCCACACCACCAGGGCTGGGAGCACCGAGCCTCAGCACCATCGAAGATGGAAAAGCTACTTCTCCCCCCACACTTTAAAAAAAAAATAATCTCTGTACAGGTGCATTGTGCCGTATCAGTACAAAAATATACATATGAACTCTACAGATCCCAGCTCAGCAGATCAAACCACAGGTATAAATCACAGTGCGCAGGACAGCATCAGGCCCAGGGAGCGACGGGGACCCCCGGGAGCACCGCGCTGCAGCTGCTGCCCGCGGGGCAGGTCTCCCTCGAGGCAGGCGCGGGGGTCACTTCTCATCTAGACGGCAGTACAGGTACATGGCAACCACCATCGATGCGATCTGCGGGGGGCAAGAGGCAAGTCAGCTCCCCTGCCAGCCTTTCCCCTGCCCTGGGGGGTCAGCTAGCCCCCCCGTTTGTGCTTTGGCTGCCCCTCATCTTCACATCTCCCTTTTACTTAAGAGCTCCCTGTGCAGAGGAATGAGGCCACTGATATGGCAGAAATGAGTCCAGGTCACAGCCTACAGCACCACTCTGAGCACCCCCAAGGAGGAAGAGCCCAGTGTGCCTGCAGAGGAAGGCTTGGTAGTTTCCTTGGGGGTGACAGTGGTCCACAGGGCCATTGAGCATCTTCTCAAGCATTAGCCACCCAGGTCAGCACTGTTGCCCATCCCCAGGTGCAAGGTGTAGAAGTGCTGACACCAGGGCACTCACCTCCAAGGCGGCGATGCCGGCTGCCACACCACCCACCACGCCCGAGTTCTTCCTGATCTCGGTCAGGAGCTGATCAAAACAGCCCTGCAGGAAGCAAGGGAAGAGTGAGGATGAGCATGGGCTCACATTGCTGGGGTATAGCCCCCACACTCTGGATTCCTACCACCCCTCGTGTGCAGGGAGATGCTCTGGGGCTTCACGTGGCACCTCACCTCAGCCACATCTCAGATCAAAGCACAACACAGGGGGAAAACAAGCCCTAAAGAGGCAAGATGGCCAAGTTCACACCTCCCTGCTCACTCCGGGGCGATCCCTCCTCCCCTACCAGGACAACCCTGAACAACCGCTGCTCATGCTTTCATACCGGGACATCACTTAGATGAGCAAGGCTCTCACTGCATGGTTGCTTTCCAGAGCAACAGGGCGCAGGGTAAGATTTGCGTTGCACAACCCAAGGAGATTCGGAGAGGTCTGTGTAGTTATTCAAGCCGCAGCAATGGAGCTAACAGGAAGAGAGAGATGGTGAAAACATCCTCCAGGTCTCCCAAGAAGCCACCTCCCCACCAAAGCTGGGGCAGGGGCACCCGGCTTCAACCCAGCTCTATGGGAATGCTCAAGGATCTTCTCAGGGGAAGAGATCTCCCCTTCCCCACAGACCTCAGCACGTGGCCTGCAGATCCAGCACTGCTAGATCCTGAAGAGGTAGATCCAAGATTCCTGGGAGGTAGTCACAGCCCAAAGGTTGGTGGGGCATGCTAGAAGTCAAGATCCTCCCATCCCACCAAGCCCACAGGGCTACATGCCACCAAGCCATTGCCAGGAGGAGGACGCACAGCTCAGCATACCTCATTCATGGTGACATTCCAGATCTGCGTAAGACTTGGCTCCTTCCCAAACTTTTCCTTCAACAGGGGAGTCACTGTAGCTGTCAGCAGCGTTTCTGCCTAAAAGAGGTAGAAAAGCCTCCATGAGAGACTGTTCTGGTGAGCACTGTATTGCGAAGAGCCCTGAGTGCCCATCTCAGGTCCCAGTTGAGAGAATAGATCAGATATGGAGGCAGGGGCTCCTAGCCTTGCCACTGCAGCCTAAGGACATTGACACCTTCTCAGGGACATTGACACCTTCCCCACACACCAGTGCAGCACAACAGCGAAGCTATTTATGACAAGTGAGTCATTCACTAAGCAGCACAAGCAAGGAAGCCAGGTCGCCTAATGATGTCTGCCTTGTGAGTGGCTTCTCTGGTGCCTGATGAGGTGAAGTGTGTTGGCATTGAAGCAGTCACCTCTCCCTGGATGGGTTCCCTAGCATCTAATAAGGAGCTGGGATTGCTCAGCATGAAGCACTGGGTACTTTTCAGTGTTCCTCTTACAGGGGCTTCTTACCCTCAGAGAAGGAGAAGGGCTAGTCCAACACCAACTAAGGCTTAATGTGGGTTTTTTTTGTTTGCTTTTTTTAAAGCAAAATTCAAATCATAATCTTCACTTCAGGGTTATTGAAAGTCCTGTTTTCTGTGCGTGATCCAACCCACAAAATATAAAATGAGTCAACAAGTGAAGCTAACAAGACACAGCACATGCACTTGGCTTTCATGGGCAGTCTAGAAAGCTCAATACTGTTTGGACAGGGCTGAAGATGACCATGTAGCCCTCAGGTTGTTACCAAGGCATCCCAAAGGTCCCCAATTAGCCCAGCCCAAGATTCAAACATGGCACTCACGAGACCAGTGTAGACAAGAGCTACCACAGCAGCAGCAATTTCAGCAATGAAGATGATCAGCACCACTGTGAAGAACTAGGAGACACAAGGGGAGAGAGATCAGGAACTGCTGCACTTGCTAGTTTCCCAGGAGCCTCATCCAGGCTTCGAAGTTGTTTTGCTTTTGACAAAAGCAATGTGACTTAGGGGTCTCCTTGAGCCCTGCATCTGCCTCTGAACATCAAAGAGTCCTTTTAGGGAGCCTTTGCTCTGTAAGGGCTTCTGCCACCAAGGAAGGCCCAGAAAAGACATCTCCATGGAGAAGTGTAACCCTCCAGCCTTCCACACCAGAAACCCAGCTCAGGTGAGGCTTGATAAGGATCTAAAGCATTGCCGAGCCTAGTCATGTCCTTACCGTCATCAGGAGGCACTTGCTCTCCTTCTGGGCTCCACAGCACCCCAGGAATCCAATGATCAGCAGGATGGCCCCGATGACGATGAGGAAGTAGCTGACGTTCACAACCTGCAGGACGCTCGTGGAAATCGCCCCAAATATCTTGAAGAACGATTCTCCATCCACTACGACCCAGATTCCAACTCCCAGCAGGGTCGCGCCACCGAGCTGGTAGAGAAGAGACATTAGTTCACGGAGAGCCTAGGAGGGACATCTAGAGAATGGGAGCAGGAGTTATCAATAGGGGCATAATTTCATTCTTCAAGCTTTTTGGCAGATCTCAGCCTCTCCTGGGACACCCAGCTGCAGTTTGAAGGCAGTATTAACTGTTCAGCGTAACGCAGGGCGGGCAATGAGGACAGTGGCCGGCTGGGGTGGAGACAGACCCCCCAAAACATCCTGTGAGCAGTTCCTGTGAGTGGCAGGGCCAGCAGCATTCCCAGGGCAGGGCCATGCCCCCGTGCCCCTGCTGAAGCACAAAGTGTCTTAACATGGAGCAGGTAAGATGCAACTCCAATTGCTCCAGAATTGGAGTGGAAAAGAGCAGACTTAGTCCTTGAGGAGCGAGGAGGAACAGGACAGAACCCTACCAGATCTCAGGAGGCTTCAGCGCTCCTTACACCCTGCGGCACCTTCTGCCCACCAGCCACATGCTGCCACCCCAAAGCCAGGCAGGCCACGGTGCCCCTGAGCCCCTGGGGCACCCGGGCAGATCCAGGAACCAGGCTCGGCCCAAGGCACCACAGAGGCTCAGGGCTCCCAGCAGCCCTGCCCAGCAAGGGGGTACAAGGCTGGGCCCCATTCCCCAACCAGCCCATGGGCTTGCTTTCCCAGACACATAAAACCTGAAGTCTTCTGGATTGGTATGAGGGCTGTTTGCGAGCAGCCACCATGCTGCAGGCTCAGGCAAGGAGCACTTCTCCACCCCTTTCCTTCTCTCCTCTCCTTCCTCTGCCCCTCCAAGTTTCACTCAGGGCACAGCAAGCACCTCCAGCCAGGCCAGAGCCACGAGGAGCAGCAGCGATCTTGCTGTCTGCCTTCCAGGGAGGCATATGGAGTATGGAGTCCCTGCTCAGCGCTGTCTCCATTCCCACATCCCCAATCTTTTTGGATTGCTGTTTATATGGTGCTTGGGCAGAAAAGGAATAGGGAGCTCTAGGGAAGGGGCAGCCCCGCTCTCTGCCAGCCCAGCCCTCAGTCGCAGGCTGGGTTGATGAGCAAGGAGCTGCTGCAGGAGCTCCCCCGCTCCCCAGGTTTTCCTGGTGCAGTGCCAGACTCGGCCACCCGGCACCCTGCCCGGGGCCCAAGCGCCCGGCTGGGGCAGCAGGAACCACCTGGCTGCCCAGGGCAGGTGCTGCCGCCAGCTCCGCTCGGCCGGTTGAGCAATGCTGGGCCCAGTCACTCCCACGCAGCTCGCAAGATCAGCTCAAGGCCATTTCCACCCCGGGCCACCCTGCCCGGCCCTGCCCTCGGTCAGGATCTCGCCTCCCCTGCCGCAGCCAGGACACTTGCCCCTGCAGCTTCAAGGGGGGAGTATTTCAAGCTTGGGGGGGCTTCACTTTCCCCTCCTCCCTTTCCAAAAAGGTGCCAGTTCCACCCCCCTTCCAGGTAGCTTTATTGCTCCAGCAAAGTCAAAGCGGCTGCAAAAGACCCCTGCCACCATCGCCTGTTGTACAAGCCCCTGGAGCCCCAGCACCCGGGGTCCCACCACACACCCAGGCTGCTCCCCTGGGGAGACGGGACCCCCAGCAGGGACCTGGGGGTGGCCCTCTCCAGTGCCCCCCCAGCCCCTCCTGGGCAGGGACACCCGGGGTGATGCAACAGCCGCTGTCCCCAGCTCCGCCACAGCTTCCTGCTTCCCCGCGCTCTGGACTTTGGCCACCGCACCCAAGGGGACACCCGGCAAGGTCCTGCCAGCCCCACCACAGGAAAAGGCTTCCAGCCAAACCAGGCAGCCACCAGGGCTGGTGCCCCATAGCTCCCCCCTGGAGCTGAAGCCCCACCAGCACCTACCTGCTCGGAGCCCCACATCGCTCCAGGGGCAAGCGGAGCCCAGGGCAGGGAGCGTCACCCACCCCACGCACAGCACAGCCTCCCCTGGGAGCCGCCTGCTCCAGCCTCGCTCCCCAGTTTGGGAGGGGGGTTCAGGGGGGCACGAGGTTCACATCACCCCCAGACAGGGCAGGGGCACCCCCAGGCTAAGCGGAGCCCAGAAGAGCACTTACAAAGATGGCCAGGTTGAAGAGGATCATCATGACCTTGATAAACGTGAAGAGCCCCATCTTTGCACCTGGGGAGAGAACAGAGACGTGGTGAGCAGGAGCCCAGCACAGCCCTGCAGCACCCAGGGGTGCTGCAGCAAAGCCAGCACTCCGGGGAAGGGGAGCAGAGCCCCCTCCCACGGCAGAGAGGCCCCTCAGGGTGCACCCTGCGTCCCCAAACCCTTGGTCCTGGTGCCCCAAACCACAGCCTACCTGAGCAGGGAGCAGCTCGCAGAGACACAGCCCAGACCCCAGTGCGGCACCTGCCCGACCTGGCCGCCTTTAAGCAGGTGAGCGCCGCGCGCGGCACCGCCTCCTCCAAGGGAGCGCGCGGTGCCCGGCCCACGCGCTGGGCCCACACCGGCCGCCCCTCGGCGCTGGGCACGCGGGTGCCGGCCGCCTGCTGCCCTCTGGTGCCAAGAGGCGCCGCTCCGGAGGGCAGAGCGGAGGGCAGAGCCGCTGCAGCCGCTTGGCGCGACTCGTGTCCCGTCCCGCTGCCCCCGGGCACGTGGGGGTGATGGTCCCGTCGCCGGCAATACGGGCAGGCTGCAGGGCTGCTGGGTGGCTGGTGGGTGCCCCGAAGCTCCTGCGAGTGCCGCTTCCTGCTCCGAACCTCGCTCCTGCTCGTGGAGAAGCACTGCGGGAGCCCTGGGGCTGGTCTGGCCCTGGTGGGGTGCCACCCCGTCCCCCTCTGTGCCCTGTAAGCAGTCCCTGTGCCCAGGAGGTGGCAGGGGCTGTCTGGGGACAGGCAGCCGCACGTGGGCGCGTTGGTGGCATTTGCCATCACGCAGAAAGGGAGCAGGAGGATGTGGGAGGGCAGGATCCCCCCCGCCCTCCGGCACGGTCCCTGCCACCGCGGGCTGCGTTTGGGTGGTGTGAGGGCACCTCGCCAAGGCCCAGGCAGGGCCCGGCCAAGGAGCAGCTGCAGATAAACTAGTCCCCACGGAGCAGGCATGCACCGAGGTGGCCTGGCAGCCCCGCGGCAGCGCCTCTCGCCCCAAAGATGCCCCATCCCGGCCCGACACCATCCCCGCCTCTCAAAATGACCCCATCAAAGGCTTCAGTGTTTGCGGCCGGACTCGGGTCCCAACAACACGTGTCCCCTGCACATCCGCAGCGGACGGGACAAAACGCCCTTGTGGGAGACGGGCTTGGTGGCGCGCGTGCCCGGGGCAGCCCCTGGTCCCACCTTGTTTCCAGGGCTGTGCACGGCAGCCGGGTGGCCCAGGCCCCTGCAGACCAGAGGCTGCTCCCACCGAGCTGGGCATCGGCCACCAAGCTGGCCCATGGCCATGGGGATCCTGCAGGGAGCCACCGGGAGCTCTGCTGCATCCCTGGGGCTGCTCTCCCAACACATGGAAGCACCGGCTGCAGGAGCCTGGCGCCGGGCAATGCCACCGGCTTAGCTGGGGTTTGTCCCAGGCACTGGGACATTAGGAGGATGAGCTGGGAGCCACTTAGCTGGGTTCCCCAGCATCTAACTCTGCAGGTTAGTTGGTTTTGGATGTTTCTCATCGCCATCCCCATCCAAGCCCAATTAGGGAGCCCAGGGTGGATTTTCTGGCTCTCCGGGAATGCCTGATCTCGTGGCGGCAGAACGGGCCGGGCGGCATTCCCGTGCATCCCTCTGCACCGGCAGCATGGCCGGATCCCTGCCGCCCCATCAGAGCATCCCGCTGCTTGCTGAGCCCCAAGACCCCACAGCGCAGGGACCCCATCTCCCCACAGAGCGCAGAAATGTCCCCTCATGCTCCCCGCAAAGGCCCAGCTGGCCCGGTGCCCTGCTTGCACTCTCTCCCCTCCATCACTTCCCAATGCTCTATCCCAGGAGTTCATACTCACATGTTGTCCGAGATGGGAGGTGGATGTCCCACCTTGGGCTCGGCTGGAAGAGTTAAGCCAAAGGCAAGTCCCCCTTGCGTGGAGGGCACCAGATGACCGCCCTGGGGTGCATGGGGGCTTTTCTGGGGAGGAAACACTGAATTTGCAGCCTGCTGACAGTCAGGCCCTGCTGCAACAGGCCTGGCAGCTCAGGTGAGCAGAGGGACCCGCTGCAAAGGGCACAAGGCCCCGCCAGGTTGGGGCGGATAACGAAGGGCTTATTGCTCACCCTTTCTATCTGTCTGGATGGGGACCGGCTCAAGGACTCTCAGCCTTGGCTTGCCCAGCGGTCACCTGGCTCTTGGGAAGCTCCAGCTGGGGGATCCCTCTGCAACAGGCACCCGCACACAAGTTTTGGGCTGGAATCATCCGCCGGGCAGCACCCAGGAGACACCAGGTCACTCACATGGGGAGCAGCGGGCAGTGACACCCTGTGTCCCTGGACAGCACACCGGGAATGAGCCGGGCTGGAGACCTGCAAATCAAAGTTGGCACACTTGGCATCACATTCATCAGTGTTTCCTTCTCCCGCTGAAACAGAACCAGGTATCTAAAGGAGCCAAGAGAGTTTGACCTTTTGACAGTGACTGATTTCGATTTGCAGCTTTGAAGCGACACCGCGATCATAAGCAAACTGCGGCGCTATCTAAAACAAACAAAACCCAGACCTCCGGGGCCAGAGGAATCACTGATTTCCTGCAGCTCCAGGGGAAACAAGGGTGGAAAACCAAACAGATAACCCAGCTGCAGCTCCTGACTTTGGGGTCTTTCTCCTGCAAAAGTGCCAAAAAGTGGGTCTGGGCCGTGAGTCACCCAGAGATGGGGCAAGGGAAGCGTGAGCAGCTTTCGGCTTCCTTAATTAAGGGTGGGCGTTAATGAAGGGTGGGCATTAATGAAGAGTGGGCTCCGCTCCCTCGGCCTCATCCACGGCGGCTGCCAGCCCCCCTGCACGTCCCGCTTGCGCTCGCCTGTGTCCAAGAAGGATAAATCCCTCCCAAATTAATTACCAGGGAGCGCGCAGAGGCGGCAGCTGCTGCGAATGGGAGCCGTGGTGGTCACGAGGACACTGCTGGGTCATGTCAGGACAGCCCCGCGCCGGCGCCGCTTCCCAGGGGGTTTCTCCGCTCCGGAGCCGCGCTCCGATCCTCATCCGCCTTCCCCACGTCACATCCCGCCAGCGTGGGCGGCTGGGGGCTCCGGCAGCGGGACACGCAGAGGGCTTTCCCCGAAAGGGAAGGAAAACCAGGATACAGCCCCTTGGAAAGGCGTGAGCAAAGAGCAGCTCCTCCTGCTGAGGAGTCGTGTGCCCCAGCGGGGAGGCAGAAGCTGGGGCAGCAAATCTTGCATTCCCACTCTCCCTGCTCATTAGGCAAACAGGGAATGATGCGGAGCTAATCAGGGCCTGGCAGGCAGCTCCAGATGTGTCCTACAAGACACAGCTCCCTGTTCAGAGCAGGATACGGTGTTGGATTCCCTCTGGATGCCTCTCAGGAGGAACCCAATGCATGGGAGCACTGCCCTGGTTTCCCTGGATTTCCAGGGAAGTCTCCCCCCACAATGAGTCCCCAAACCCATCTGATGCCCCACCAAGTCGGGCTCTGCCCATGGTCCCAGCAAACTGGGCTGTCCATTGCCATGTGGGAGGCAGGACCATCTCCAGTTCCATCCTGGCAGCTGCGGTGCCAGCGGGAGAGGCTGGCGGGAGAAGAGAAAAAGCCCTTGTAGTCCCAGCACGGCAGCTGTCGCCGGGATCCGGGCTGGGAATGGAGCGGAGGGAGGGCCACAAGGGCTGTGCACGGCCCTGGCGAATGCAGCTGCATCCAGACCCCTGGATGCCGGCGCTGGGCTGAGATGACGGCCGAGAAGGGCCGAGCGCCTCCCGCCTGGCTCTGCTCGCCCTGTGCCGGGCGCACGGCCTCAGTTTCCCCAAATTCCACAGACCCAGGGTGAGCACCCAGCCTTGAATGTTGAACCCCCTCCCACTGGGGAGGAGAGTACCCAATTCCTGCCCCGACTCCTCAGAACACGGCACAGGGGATCCCGTGGCTTAGCCCTGATCCAGCTGTGCAGTTGCTAGGAGACTGGGGATGTTCCTGTGGGATCCTCCATCCACCCGGAGGCTGGTGCCGCTCCAGCAGGGAAGCATCCCAGGGTGCCAGGACCAGTGCGAGGCCCTTGGGCCAGGAGCTGCCCATCCCTTCCATGGCTCTGGGCCGAATCCCTGTGACCTCCCGGCAGCTCCGCTCCTTGTGGCTTCTCAAAGGAAACTGCTGCTGTCAAAGTCCAGCAAGAAGAAGCCATCTGGAGCAGGGATCCATGCAGGAGCCAACACCGGCCCTCCCGTGCGGCCTCCACTCGTGCCTCAGTTTCCTCCGGAGCCCAAGAGCGTCTCCTTCCCACAAGGCTGTTCCTGCATGGACGGTGCTCCCGGTGCCGCAGCCTCCCGGAGTGGCTCCGGCGCTGGCCTGGATTCAGCCCGAGTGCGCTTCCCAGAGCTCCTGTCCTAGGTGCTGGCTATTTTTAGGATGCCCAACCTGCGGCAAAGGCACAGAGCAATCGCCAGTTCGGAGGAGGCAGCACGAGAAGCAAGGATTAAAATAATAAGTAAATAAATAAAAGCTCCGTGCCTCTGGATGCCTCTGGAGCATCACGCTGAGCGTCTCCGCACCCAGACCCAGGTCACCTCATCCCTGCCCAAACTTAGGGCTCTTCTGCGACTCCAGGAGACCCTTCAGGGCAGAGCCGCTGGCAGCAGAAGGCGGCTGAGACCCGGTGCTCTCGCTGCATGCAACCGCTCCGCTCTCGTGCCCGGTGCTCCCGGGCGAGCAGCAGAGCCGGGCGCTTCCCCACGGGCCCTGCCAGGCACCAGGACATGCGGATTCTCCCCCCCAGCTCAGCAAGGAGGCCGCAGCAAGGAGGCGCCTGGTGTTCCAGGGCCGCATCCCGGGAGCGTGCGGAGGAAAGGGGGGGTAAAGGCAAGGGGAAGCGGCAGCGCCCGCCCCGCTGCGCCGCGCCGCGCTGCGGAGCCGGGGGGGCCCGGGCACCGGCGGGGGGGCGCCCGCTGACATCACCGCGGCGCAGCCCCGGCTCCGGCTGCGGCTGCGGCTCCGCTGCGGCGGGTAAGGCTGGGAACGGGCACCGGGACGGGCACCGGCACGGGGGGGCCCGAGATGTTCGGCGCGTCCTGGAGCGGGGGGTCGCCGGCTCCGCGGCGCGGCGGCCGCGGGACTCGCGCGCGGCGGGCGGCTCCGGGCACGCAGAGCCCCTGCTGGAACACGGTGATGCTCCCCTGCCCTACTTCCCACGCTCCTGCCCGCGCTTCCCTGGCGCACGGGCTCCCATCCCCGCCGGCGGAGCTCGCCGGGAAGCGGGAGCAGAGCAAGTGGCTAAGGCAGCGCGCTTCCCTCCCACAGAGCAGCTGGCCTGGAGCGCGGAGCGACGCGCGGATGGAGGGCAGGGAGCAGCGCTGAGCGGGACTGCGCCGTGCCCGGCGCCCACGCGGCCTCCACCGCTCGTCTGCTGCTGTGAGGGCTGCTCGAGAGCACCTGAGAGAGAGCCGGCCGCCCGCGGAGCCCCCGGGGCCGCTTCCCGAGCTTGCACAGGGAAGGAAGCCCTGCCGGAGGCACCAGTGCCAGCCCGGCGCGCGGCGGGACGGAGGCCATGGGCTCCCCGGAGGCGCTGCAGTACCGGGCGCTCTACGAGTACCGCAAGGAGCGGGAGGAGGACGTGGCGCTGCGCCCCGGCGACGTGCTCACCGTGAGCCGGGCCGCGCTGCTCGGCGCCCCCGGCTTCCAGGACGGCGACGAGCGCAGCCCCCAGGGCTGGCTCAGCGGCCTCAACGAGCGCACCAAGGAGCGCGGCGACTTCCCCGGCACCTACGTGGAGTACGTGGGCCCCGCCGCCCCCGCCAAGGCCAGGCCGCGGCCGCTGCCCCCGGCGCCCGCCGGGACCCCCATGCCCGGGGGACAGCCCTGGGGTGAGTGCCGGGGATGGCGGGATGGGGTGGCTGTTCCTGACCCGGGAATTCCCTGTCCCAGCACATCGGGGTGGCTGTGGAAGGGGCCCCAAGGAGCACAGTGTGGCCGGGATGCTCATCCCAAGCTTGCCGGCTCTCCCTTCTGCCCCACGACCTGGCTCTGGAGTCGGCACGTTCCTCCCGCCGCGCTCGGCACAGCCCAAGGGTCCCGCGTCCGATGGTCCCACCAGTGCTGGGCAGGTGTCCGTGTCTGTGGTGTCCGTGTCTGCCAGGAGCTTTTGTGTCCCGCCCTGGGACACCAGGCGCCTTGCGGGATGCTGCGGAGCCTGGCGTTCTCACCCATCCCGGGATCCGGGGATGGGGTCCACCACCCTGGGATCCCAGGATTCCAGGCTCGCTTGCGTCTCTCTCTGCCCTCGCTGCTCACAAGGGCCGAGCTGGGGCTGGAGGGGTTGCAAAGCAATGCAGAAAGTACAGCAAAGAGGGAAAATTAAAGAGAAAAAGCCTCCAGGCAGGCAAGCAAAGCAACCCGGCAGCCCTGGATGAAGCTCCAGCTCTCCGGCCTTGTGCAGGGAGATGGGACAGCCCTGGGCCTTGGCTGCCCACAGCTTTCCACGAACCATAGATTTGGATTTAGCCTGTGCTGCTGTGCTCCATCAGGAATCACACACCTACGTGCAGGGCTCAGGTGAAACCAGGAAAAAGAAATAAATCAGGGAAAAAAAAATATGTGAGAGTATGAACGAAGACTTTCTGTTAAGGAAGAGCGCACAAAGGCAGGATTCGGGGGTGAATGGCTGGGGGATGCTGCCATCTGCCGGACACGTCCCGGCCCGGTCCCTGTGCGCATGGGCCACCAAGGAGACCCCTAAGATTGGCCCCCCTTTAAAGTCTCCCAGAAAGGCCGGGCCCATCTGGGAGAGCTGGGCTTGCAGGGCGAGCACAGCAAGCGCCGGTGACACGGGGCGTCCTGGCAGGACGGGGGACGGGCTCGGGGGTCCCCTGCACACCGAGGTACCACCAAAATCACCCCTGTGGCATCGTCCTTTCAGCACGGGGCAGCTGTATCACCTCCTGTTGGCTTGAACCAACATCCTTTGGCGTG